AAAAAAAAAAAAAATAAAAATAAAAAATACAAGGATCACTAAAAATAACCGAAATGGATTTAAAATCAAATCCTCATAAAGGTCGTCCTAGTCAGAGTTGGTGTCCCAAATGTCAAATCTAGTCAGGGGCAGGTGGTGGCGGACGACCGAATCTGAAGGATGGGTACTCTAACTGGTCCATCCGAATGAGCGTTCGAAGCCGTCGGGGAATGTCCTCAAGAGGAAGAGTGCGTCTCTAGGGTAAAGATGCCCCCGTGCTAGCAAGGAAATCAGCGGGCTGATTCCCCTCTCGGAATATGTGTGAAACCTGGTAATGGATGAGCGGAGAGTGTCTCTGATACGCATAAGAGGATGCTGAATCTGCCACGAGCCCTGGTGGCCAGATGTCTAACTGGTCCATCTCAATCCAGACATGAGAGGAGATCGAGGCGGCAATCTCAAGACCAATCTGGAGCGCCTGAATATTCTGCATCATAACTCGAAGAGGCCCGGAGTGGCCCATGGAAGGTAGAGATGAGTGCCCCACCATGGTCCCTAATCAGGCCCCCTCATCCAGCAGCTCCGGTATGTCTGTCGAAAGCGCCATCAATGTTTAGCTTAACCCAAGGGGCCTTGGGTTTCAGCCAAACAACGAGCCTGGGTCGTGGATGCTGGACAGGTAAAGGATGTGGTGGCCTCAAACGGTGAGGCGGAGTACACCCTATCCAGTCTCTCGTCGTAAGTCTACCCAGGGCGGTGAGGAGAGAGAGGTGTCTGTCAACCTGTAAAATAATGTGAGCACAAGAAAATATAATATTCCTATGCTTCGCATTATTCCTCTCTGTCCAGGTGGCCCAAAGGATCAGACAAGGAATAAGGAAGCCCATGTGTCTACTGTGTGTGCGGTGTAAGAAAAAAATCAGAAGCTCAAAAAAACTGTCTGTAGTGGGTAGGGGTATATGAGTATATCTGGCATAGTGCTCCCACACTCTCCTCACAGTTTCACTCTCAAGGAAAAGATGGGTGAAAGTCTCGATCTCAAAGGTACCGGTCTCAACACAACAATGGCAGCGGGAGGGGAAAGAGAACCCTCTCGCCTGCATCACGGTGTCAATAGGAATGCGTCGTAATAGGAGGCGCCACAAAAAAAAGGAAATGGTCGGGGTGAGAAGGTCGGTCCACATGGCCCCGAAGAGGCGGTTTGGCCGGTTGCCCAGCCTCACATCTCCCCAGGCTGATGACGTAGAGAATGCACCCGAAGATGTAAGTTTCCACCTCATGCCATCCAAACCTCCCTCCAGAATGGGAATCTGTCGGATCTGGTCAATTTCTAGACTACTAAAACCATCCACACTCACCAAGAATATCCTCCATCTTATCTCTATCCCAATACCCTCCCGACCAAAGGTCCTTCACCTGCATGAAAGGCAGGTGAGTGACTGGCCTAGTACTCGAGAGAGGAGCCTCACCGAACCACCACTCATCCCAGAAGCTAACCTCCCCAGAACCCAAGGTCCAAAATATGTGCTCCTGAGCACGCCTGCCAACAATGGTGAGCCGTCTCCACTGTCGACTGTCCCGAGCGGTGGCTGTCACCCTGCAGGGATGGGCAGCTGCACCAGGGCAATATTTCCTCAGGAGGTATTGGGCCCAAAGGGACTTGCCCTCCCTAAGGCGCCACCACATTCTGTAGGAAAACGCAGTAACCATATCAGAGAAACGCCGAATCCCGAGCCCACCCTCAGAGTGGGGACGACAGATGGAGTCCCACTTCACCCAGTGGGTATGCCGCCGACCTCGCGAGCCCTCGCCATAGCTCCAAAAACAGCGGGCTAAGATCTGATCTAACTCATGAATCGTAGACTGGTGGGGGTCAAGCACCACGAGAAGGTGAAGAGAAAGGGCACAAAGACTGCTCTTGATCAGAGCATGACGACCTCCGAAGGATAGGTTTCTATGTGACCAGCCAGATATCCGGTCAATCATCCTCTGACGAACGTCAATGAAAAGCTCATGGGAAAGATGGCCTTCGTACAAGGGGACCCCAAGGTAAGGGATGGGTAAATTCTTACGAGCAAATCCAGTGCGCTCGTGAATCTGGTGAGCCGAATGGTCTGCGACGTGGTGGTCCATGATAAAGGTACTCTTACTGACACTGACTAGCTGGCCAGATGTCTCACTGTAGTGATCCAAAAGACTCATGAGAGCAACTAGCCCATTATCATTCGCACGAGTGAAAATGACAATGTCATCCGCGTAAGAAAGGTGGGAAATGGGAGGCCCACAGCCACGTGTGCTGTAGGTCATCCTCGGAAAATCGCGAATGAAGTCGTCAAGGCATCGGGAGAGATAGTCAGCCACCAGAACAAACAGGGAGGGGGATAAGGGGTCCACTTGACGAAGGCCACGGGTCGAAAGAAAAAAGGTCGTGGGGCTACCATTAATCAAAACGGAGAATGTGCAGTGTTCCACACACGCCTCCACAAAGCTAATCCAACGGTTAAGGAATCCCATCCGAAACAGTACCTCTCTGAGAAACGACCACTCGACCCTATCATATGCTTTGGCCATGTCTAGCTTCAGCACGAGGTTCGGGGTTCGTGTACGATTCTCATGAGAGATTTCGTGTATCATCTCCTGAGCCAGAAGGATATTATCACTAATGACTCGATCCTTGATGAATCCACTCTAGTTCGGAGAGACAATGTGGGGGAGGAGAGGGGCGAGACGACTATTGAAAATTCTAGAAATGATCTTGTTAGTCACGTTGCCTAAGCTGATAGGTCTATAGTCTGACCAAGAACTAGGTCCCGATCTCTTCGGGATCAAAATGATGGAGGTTGCCGTGAAGGACTCTGGCATTTGGTGGCCAGAGAAAAAATCCCTCACAGCTTCCTCTACGTCAGTACCCACAATCTCCCAGCAAGACTGGAAGAAGAGGGACGAAAAACCATCCGGTCCGGAGACGTTGTTGGGATCTATCCCAAACACAGCCTCCCTGACTTCCTCCTTACTCGGGAGGTCACAGAGGTCAACAAGATCGACCGACTGCGGGATGGTCGGAAAAAGGGCTGGGTCGGGGTGCGTAAGCGAATCCGGCTAAGAGAAGAAGAGAGAGTGGAAGTAACCCCTGGCCGACTCCCGTATCTGGGACTCCTGGGTCATGGATGACCCGTTATCCTCGACACTATGGATATACGACTTGACTCGCTTCTGCCTCACGAATCCCTGGAAGAACTTGGTATTACGCTCCCCCTCAGCCACCCAGCGCACAGCAGCCTTCTGCTTCTAGAAATCCTCCTCCATGAGTAGGCGCAACTGGTACTCAGCATGGCAACGGCGCATCTCGGACCTATTCTCTGGCGAAGAATCCAAATCATAGGTCCATTCCGCCTTCGCATACACAGTCTGAGCTGCAGTGAGGCGCTGAGAAATATCTCCAAAACTCGTCCAGTTCCACTGCTTCAAAACGCGGCGGAGTCTCATGAGCTTCTCCTCCAGGTTGCGCATCCCATAGAGGTGCGTAGCCTGCTGCCAGGAGGCTCTAACAGTATCGTAGTAAGAATGGTGGCGGACCCACATGTTCTGGAAGCGGAAAGACGCTCGCCGGGGGGAAATAGAGAACCGACAACGAATCAAAAGGGGGGCATGGTCAGATCCAATTCGAGAAAGGTGCGTTACAACCGTGGTCGCAAACACCCTCGTCCACGCCTCTGAGTAGAGAGCGCGGTCGAGCCTCTCCTGGACTTCAGCCCTCTCCCACGTAAAGGGAGCCCCTTCATAACCAGCGTCGATGACCTCACAATCCGATACAGCATGCGAGAAATCTAAGCTCTCCGCAGAGCGGTCCGATACACCACCAATGCGTTCATCGGGATGCAAGAATATG